TCCTCAGTCACTCGTTTGCTGTGCCCGAGAGGACGCTGTATAGGACGGTTTGTCAGACCTCTATTCTCATTCCCATTTTTCAAATTTTCTTTTTTATTTTTCCCATTTCAGATTAGAACCAGAGGGGGTTGCCATTGACTGTGCTAATTTTTGGGGTCGAGCAAATTTTGGGGTCAAGAGTAGCCCCCTGGAGTACCTTATTTTTTTTCTTTTTCTTTTGGAGTCTCGGTCGAATCAAAGGGCCTTGTTCCACACCACTTACGAATCCTTACATCGCCGTAACCGGCCGAAGGTGATTAATTTACCCTAACTTTGTTTTTCATTCTACAACCCGTGAGGACGACCTTACACTTGCCCGCCCTTACATCTCAGGCGAGGAGGGCTGAGTGTCACAAGGTCGTTTTGCCTGGGCCGTGAATGATGCGCTCCGTAGGGTCCCACCCTCACATTTCAAGTCGCCTTCGACGGCTCCCTAGAGATTTCCATAGCCTACACTTACCTGCCCTTACATCTCAGGCGAGGAGGGCAGGGTGTCAGAAGGTGGTTTTGCCCGGGCCGTGAATGACACGCTCCGTAGGGTCCCACCCTCACGTTTCAAGTCACCTTCGACGACTCCTATAGATTTCTGTAGTTTTGCCTGGGCTGCCCATATTTTTTAGGGGCTGACCCTACAAGGCCAAAATGTGGAAACATTCCGGAGTTTGTTTTCATCGTGCTTAGGGTGTGGTGGAACGATGATTTCCTAAGAATCCTTACATTTCAAGTCAAGTGGTGTAGAACAAGGCCCAAAACGCAAGGAAATAATGCTTCTCAATTTCTATCGCTCGAAAACGAAAGCACAGAAAGGAAAACCAACAGAAAGCGGTGCATCAAAATTCTTGCTGCCATGAAAAAAAAAAAAAAAAAAAAAAAACCCATCAAAAAGCGGTGCATAAAAATTCCTGCTGCCATGAAAAGGAAAAAAAAATCAAAACATTTTTGCCGCTGTGCTATCTGCCATCACCAATGGTCGTGCAGTGTTACACCCGTGCAATCGTGCTCGCACATCTTGCTCGTGTATACCTCAGCTGCCTGCTAGTGGAGCCGTGCCCCAGAGGGTCTTTGTTTTGTGGGAAAAAAAATTGTGTTGCGAAAGAGAGATTTTCTGTAAAAAAGAAGAAAAAGAAAAGGAGAAGATAGAGGCCGGGGTACCGGTGCCTTCTTTGGGACGTGTTAAAATTGGAAAGATATACACAGAAGATTAGCATGGCACCTGCGGAAGGATGACACGCAAAAATCGAGAAATGGTCCCCCCCCCCCAAAAAAAAGTCTACCCGTTGCAACACAGTACTGGGGCCATGTCCCACTTGCACCGCTTAGTTGAGGCACCTCAACGGCAGCTCAAAATGTTCATTTTAATTCGATTGAAAATGAGAAATGCATTTATAAATGGCGCGGATACAATTATTCTTTCTTTTCTTTTTCACAATTGGAGTGGCATATGGGTACTTCCACAGCAGATTGAAAATAAGAAATGCATTTATAAATGGCGCGGATACAATTGTCCTTTTTCTTTTCTTTTTTCACAACTGGAGTGGCATATGGGTACTTGCACAGCAGATTGAAAATGAGAAATGGATTTCTAAATGGCACGGATTCAATTGTTCTTTCTCTTCTTTTTTCACAATTGGAGTGGCATACGGGTAGTTCCACAGCAGAAAATGAAGAGTTGCCAGAACCCTGTATGAAAATGGCAAATGGAAGGAGGCTCGTACAGTATCAGATCGGCCTTGCCGAACACGTCCGGGCAATTATCATACCAGCATCTCACGTTCACGAGTATCCCGTTCAGCTGCGTATCAGAGACATGGTCGGGGTTCAACCAAGGGCTGGCTATTCCCAGTGATCCCCTTTCACAACGAGCTTGAGTCTTCGCAGCGAGTCTTCAACGGCGTTGAATAAGTCGTGTCCGTCTCGTTGTGGCATACGGGTACTTTCAGAGCAGAAAATGAAGAGTTGCCAGAACGCTGTATGAAAATGGCAAATGGAAGGAGGTTCGTACAGTATCTCCAGAGGAAAACACCTATTGGGGGAATAAGAGGGGGTCGAGGAGCTGGCTGTCTCGAAAAAGGAGAGCTAATTAGAACGGAAAGTGACAAGGGTAGGGGGGGCGTAGTATTCGAAAGAAAGGACTTATGTTTTTTGTGGGAAGAAAAAGCGGCGATAGTCTTTATTGCCTTTTTTACTAGCTTACCAGGGCGGACGTCTGGGACCCCTCTGGATGTCCAACTTGTCCGGTCGGACAACTGGGGAGACATCCTCCTGTGACAGTATGTGCGACCCTCTAGAAAAATAAAAACATAAAAAAATTGCAGTATTTTTCTGTGGGTTCTCCCTCACATGAGGTATACGCCACAAAAATTTTGGGTCATTTGAGCCCATAGAAAAAAGATAAAATTGCGAAAGATGTCTGTGTCAATTTCAATCAAACGGGTCCATCTTATTGGGGTCAATTTCAATCACACACACCAACCCACCCACCCAAAGCCCCTTTCCCCATGTTTTGGACGTCCGACGGAGATGTCTCCGGGAAACGTCGCCGATTGGACATCTGGTAACCTAGCTTTTTGTTGGAAGAAAAAGAGATGATAGTCTCTATTGTCTTTTTTTTGTTATTGAAAACTGATAGATCACTTGGACTACGAGCATCTCCTCTAGATCACTTGGGCTACGAGCATCTCCGTGGTCACCTACAGCCACACAGGGTCGAAAACTATATGTCGACCTTACTAAAAGGAGCTAGTGGGACATGCTCTGGGACCTATACCCAGCTCCTCTTAATTCTAGAGGGCTTTAACCGCTATGGTTTTTTTTTTTAATGCTCACACGTGCGTAGATGCTCTGCGGGACCCGGTTTAACAACAGAGGGGAATTAAAAAAAAAAAAAAAAAACAGCGGAGAGGAAGTAAGAGACCTTTTGTTGACGTCCACTCTTCTTTTGTTTCTGTAAGTTTCTTTTTTTTTTTTGGTGGGGGAAGTGAGTCTCTGGGCACTGGGGCCTGGACCCACTAGCGAAGTATTCTAGGATGTGTGACACTATGTTTTTTTTGGAAAAGACTGTGATTTTTTGTTGCATGAATGGATCGTTTTCTGATTTAAAATGAATTGAAATGGCACATAAAACAAAGAACAACAGCTGTGCACCGAATTCATGGGTTGGTATGATCTCCTTCACGTAAGTCTTCATAGTGATGTACCGTGGCAATAAAATGTGTCCATGAACACAGCCACGAGGATGAACAAGTAATGGGTATGGGGATACATTCATCACCATGTATCTCGTGCCTCTGACAGGCCATCCGACAGATGCGGAGGCGTTCCTGTCAGATCCACTACAATATTTCAGTTTCACATTTCAAGTTCGATTTCTCAGAGCCAAAAGAAAAAAAACGAAGTCTGGAAATTAACCCCCCCTCTTTCCAGCCCATAAAATATTTCAGTTTCACATTTCAAGTTCGATTTCTCAGAGCCAAAAGAAAAAAAACGAAGTCTGGAAATCAACCCCCCCTCTTTCAAGCCCATAAAATCCAGACTTCCCACCCACGCAAAGCCACGAGCTATGGTGTCCTTATTTGTTTTTGTTTGTTTTTAGACGCATCTCATTTGATGGAGGTGGGCATCTTTGCAGTCCCCGCTCGGACACTACCAGGCCGTCGAGATCCGATGTATTCGACGGCCGTACTGCGTCACTCGAGGCCACACGTGATCGAAATCCTGGGTCCAGGCCCCTGGGCCTGTTGTAACGGAAGAAAAAAAAAAGAATCGCGTTATCGAGTTTCATGTTTTTTTTCCCTCTTCTTTTTTTTTTCTCAATACGTTCCGTTTCACCATTGACGTGGCAACACCCGGAGCCGAGTCCCACTAGCGGACCGAAAAGTTTCGGTTGGCTCTATGCCACACGGTGTGACGTTCCATCCACCCGTGGAGTGCAGATGATCCGAGGGCTAGGGAAAATAGTTTGAATGCTAGTGGCACAGAGATTTAAACGGCGTCCTTCATTGGTCAACGAATTTCTCAAATATTTGCCGACAGTGTTTGGGTGGTTTTGGTTCCTCGCATGGTGTGGGGTATGCGAGAAACCGAAACACCTTGGAGCTATAGACGGCGTGTGTATGCCAAGGCGGTTCATGAAATCTGAAAATGATATCCGTCCTTTCTGTGATGCAGAGGCGGATTCTTGCGGGGGCTTGGAGGGTTCGATCGCCTGTCTTTGTGAGTGAGTTGCTGAAAAGGCTGCTTAGGAAGGTGGGTGAATTATGCCAGGTGGCCGTGAATTATGATTACAGTTACTGCCACACTCTTCTGATGTTAATTCCCTCGCCCTCCCGGTGCCTTGGTCTTCCGCACATGATTTCCTTAATCCTTTTTCCTACCGTCCAACAGCCACACAGCACGGTTTTTGAGCCATGAATTATACACAGTTAGTGGCCCCGAAAAAAACGATGTACAATAGAAACCCATTCTCCTGCCGCTTGCAATGATGAACCACCAGCTGGAGAAGAGGCGTCATACATCCCCCGCGTGAGGGCCTTTTTTTTCCCTTCCTGTTCTTTTTTAAGAGTCCGGGAGATATCAGCAGCTCTTTTGTGGATGGTGGAGACAGCGTGTGTCAACCTAATGGTTGGCAGGTCCGTGACACAAACAAGTACCACGTCACACAAGCACCATGGATAAGCACACAAGCAGCTCCGTCACGCAAGCAAGTGACACAAACAAGTACCACGTCACACAAGCACCATGGATAAGCACACAAGCAGCTCCGTCACACAAGCAAGCATACAGATTATAGAGCAGGAAAGCACACAGTGTGAGTAGACTAGAAGGTGCAAAATTAATTGGAGCGGTTGTAATACTTTGCATCAACCTTCTATTATTAGCCAATTTGAGAAATACTCGTGACCAAAAAAAAAAACAAAAAAAAAACCAACTTGTAACGTATTGTGAAAACTGGAAATCACCAGGTTTGCTATGCTTGCAAGTCTGTTGGTTGCTCTGTTGGTCCAGGACGTGCTACAACTGTGGACTTTGGCCCAGGGGGCCAAGTTTCCTCGATTCCCGAGTGTTTTCGGAGATGTGCGGTTGAGGAAACTCAACGAAGTTTCTGCATATCTCCACAAACACATTCAGGTTCGTGCGTTGAGGAGACTCAACACTGCTAGTGGGACTTTGCCCCAGGGGCACGTTTCGAGGAAGTGGGCCTCGCTCCACTATTGTTGAAATGTGTAAATTGAGAATGAATCTTCTGCTAGAACTCAGACAGATTCGCCGCTATAGTTTTTGTCGTTTGTGCGTGTGGCGTGTAGTGGAGCGAGGCCCATTGTCCGCAACCTCTTTGTAGTTTTTTTTTTGTGTGTGTTTTTTGCTGCGTTTGTCATAATTCCCATTCCTTCTTCTTTCTTCGCTTACACGAGCACGTGACGTGCACGAACGACATGCCACCGCTTTGGCTGTACCTGGCAAGAAATATAGCTTGTATGCATTTTGTCATTTACTATCAGGGCGGGTTATGTTCAGGGGAAGGCGGTAGTGGAATTCAAGCATACAGAGAACAAAGCAGGGCCGTCATTTTGGCCGCGGTCGGAAATATAGCTTGAATACATTTATTATCAGTGTGCGTTATGTTGGGGGGAAGACGGTAGTGGAGTTCAAGCTTACATAGCACAGAGCAGGAAGGCACACCGCAGGTACACGAGGAATTCTCGCAAGAAGAAAGAAAAGGGATAATTTGCAAAATACCCCCATAAGTTGAGATATATGCCAAAATGCCCCTTAAAGATGTGGGTAGAGCGGAATACCCCTCTGACAAAAAAAGTATTTTGTGAAATGCCTCTAGTGTCGGTTGGACCCCCATCTTTGCAATATACCCCTACCGGGTACCGTCCAACTTTGCAAACTGCCCCAGTACTTGCCAACTTTTCCTAGGCGCTATTGCAAAAGGCCAAGGCCCAAACGGGGAGGTCCACATTGCAAAGATGCACACCCACCTGACAGGGGCACAACACACAGGTTTCGGCTCAAAAGGGCGTTCCGGTCTACCCACATTTGTCAGGGGCATTTTGGCATATATCTCAACTTATGGGGGTATTTTGCAAATTATCCGCAGCAAATTTTGAAAATAGGAGAGAGGACGATTTCGACACTTGGTTCGGTATGGTGGGATTCCTGGTCTGTCGTTCCTGGTCCATTTCCATGGAAGATTCCTTGAGATGGCGCATTGCATCCATGGCTAATATGGGCTGTATTGGCCACAGGTATATTTTCGGCCCCTTCAGTGCCATCACCCTTGCACAACGATAGCATCTGGCTGGCCACAAATATAGCATCCTGGTCCCCTTCTCCCTTGCACAATTGTAGCATTTGGCTGGCCACAAGTATGACATCGGCGTCTCCTCCCATGCGCAACTATAGCATCTGGCTGATACCCGTATAGGCCACAAGTATAGCATCTTGGTCCCCTTCTCCTGTGCACAATTATAGCATCTGACTACTACCCCACCTCAGATCCGTGGGCCTCAGTCCGACTATTCACCACATGCACAAGAGACAAAAGATATGGCTGTGAATCTTTCCATTTTCTAGTGGAAGATTCATTCTTATTTTGCACATTTTTGAGTTGCGGAGTGAGCCTTGTGGTGATGTTTGTGGATAGTTGTTTCTACGCAGTCGTCTTAAGTTCATTAAAGGACTAGTAGAGGCTGGTGGGGTTCACTACGGTTAACCTTCGCCTAACCGCCAGCGATGCACTTCTTTTCTTATTTTGGTGGGTGCGTCTTTTCTTTTTTTGGGATGGTCCCGCCAGCCATTGTGGCCTGGTAGCGTCACGCCTCCAAAATCTCGGGAATGAGCCATGAACTTTTTGAAGTTGGCTCGGGCTGTGTGCTGGCAGTTTAAGGATACATTAGATAGTAGGGGACTAGGCGGAAGGGCGTGATGATGCCTATGGTCACCTCTTCAATATCTGCGTGTTAATGAAGGAAAGCTTGTAGTCAAGAGCGGATTGGTTGGAGAAGCATTTTATCTCGAATTGTTCGGTGCACGATCTGTCTCTTATACACATCTAGATGTGTATAAGAGACAGACATTAGATAGTAGGGGACTAGGCGGAAGGGCGTGATGATGCCTATGGTCACCTCTTCAATATCTGCGTGTTAATGAAGGAAAGCTTGTAGTCAAGAGCGGATTAGTTGGAGAAGCCTTTTATCTCGAATTGTCCGGTTCACGATCTGTCTCTTATACACATCTAGATGTGTATAAGAGACCGGAACGCGGTGGCTGAATCGGTGTGCTGTGTGGGTCCCTACGCATTTGCGTTGTACCCTCCCCAGAGGGGGCCTAAGACCCCCTGGGGTCCTAGCCTCTTTTTAGGCCGGACTGCGAAAAGGCTCGTCGTGCCCTTTGCAAACATCTGGCGGTGCCAGGCTAATCGCGCTCTAGCCTCTTTTTAGGCCGGACTGCGAAAAGGCTCGTCGTGCCCTTTGCAAACATCTGGCGGTGCCAGGCTAATCGCGCTCTAGCCTCTTTTTAGGCCGGACTGCGAAAAGGCTCGTCGTGCCCTTTGCAAACATCTGGCGGTGCCAGGCTAATCGCGCTCTAGCCTCTTTTTAGGCCGGACTGCGAAAAGGCTCGTCGTGCCCTTTGCAAACATCTGGCGGTGCCAGGCTAATCGCGCTCTGAAGATGGCTATGATTTCTTAGGGCCGGAGCCGGACAAATAGCAGTGCGAGGAAAAGAGGCTGGGATAAACTGCACAACTGTGTAGTGGCTTGGGATCTCCAAAAGACTGAACCCAGTTCAGAATTTGCCTCATCATGACTGTATACAAATTCTGTTCCAGCTCAAATACAGTCATGAAGCTGGGGAGTTGTGTTATGGGGAAGAAGCTAGTTATGAATATTACACACACAATGCTATTACTGTGAAGGGGGGTAAACTAGACAATCTGATGGAATTGGGGAGTCGGTGTGAGTATAGGGGGTACTATTCTTATGGGTACTCGGGAAATGGAAACAATGCGAGTGCCTCTTCCCATGGAAGGCTGCAAGTGGCCTGCGGGCCTAGGTCAGTTGGTAAGGCACAAAAGTTGCATTCAGGAGGTCGTGGGTTTCGATCCCCATTCGCCTCACGTACGTGCCTGGGCAAGCTTGGTGTTCTACCAACTAGAGATAACCTGCCGGCCCCCCAAGCCAGCGTTGGCAGGACGTTGGCTGATGTTGTTGGTTGCTATGCAGCGACAATATTGGCCATTCAACACCATCGTGTGTTTTTTTTTTGGGGGGGGGAGGGTAGGGGGAGGTGCAGCGACTGGCCATTGCTCGGCGCTAGCACCGCCGATTTCCCCCATCGACAATGCCTGCCCACCCCTCGTCACCGTGATGAGGGACTGTTACAGCGTTGCTCTTGCACCACTGCTGTGGTGCCAACCTACCCCGTGGGCTAGGGAGAGATCCGGATTGGTTGGTGATCCCTAGGCAAACTACTAGTGAGAGGATGAGATAGATGAGTACTGGCAAGAAGATGATATACGTGAGAGAAGAAACATGCGTATCTTGCCAGCTTCCGTTGAAAGGTGCATCAAGGAAGGTAGCAATAAACCGCCAGCTTCTGTGGAAAGGTGCATCAAAGAGGTAGCAAAGAAATAGGGTGCTATTTATAGTAATGTATGTACCTTGCCTTCTTTTGTTGAAGAAACCTGTGTTTTTTATTAGTTTCGTGCGTGGAGTGTGGCGAAGCCCTATGTGGCTACCATCTTCCCCCGATTGGAACGCCAGCTCATTATCACTGCATCTGGACTGAAAGTTGGGCCAAATGCAGCTATAATGACCAGGCGTTCTATTTGGGTGAAGTTGGCAGCTTTGGGCACTCGCTTGTGGGTGAGGCCTTACCCGTCAGTCAATTTAATCCTGAGCAGACTGTTAGGGTGGGTTTAACGGAACTTTAACTTTTTGATGAGTTGGGGGAAGTGCGATGAAAGGTCCTTCAGGACATCCGTTGAATCTGGAACGATACCAAGAACAAGATTAGCATGGCCCCTACGCAAGGATGAGAAGATTAGCATGGCCCCTACGCAAGGATGACACACATAAATCAAGAAATGGTCCCCTCCGCCACAAAGAAAAAAGAAGAAAGTTCGATGAAACAGTCTGTCGAACACACACACACAACAATTTAGAAAAGTCTCAGGGGACAAAATAAGGAAAAGGGATGTTGTACGTCTTCAAGTACGCATTGCCCCATATACTACTTACGGATAAACAGCAACACAAAATGCTAGGTTATACTACTTATGGATTAACAGCAACACAAAATGCTAGGTTGGCGGTTCTCGTACCACCACTGGGATAGAGTGCTGGCACAAGGGCTCCTGGGTGAGTCCTTATCTATCCGTCGATTGTATCCGCCACACATTGTCGTAACCCACCGCTGGGATAGAGGGCTGACACAAGGGCTCCTGGGTGAGTCCTTATCTATCCGATGATTGTATCCGCCACACATTGCCGTAACCTTTTGATAAGTCGGGGAAAGTTCGATGAGGTAGTCTGTCAAACGCATGTAATGTGTGCAGTCTTCAAGTAGGCATTTTGCCCGAACAAGACTTAGATATTAACAGGAGCCCAAGCCCTACTTGGTTTCCTAGTCACCAAGCATGCTTTGGTGGTGGCCTTCTTGGATGTTGAGGGAGCTTCGTATATCTTTTTTTTTTTTTTTTTTTTTTTWTWTWTTTTTTTTTWTTWTTTWTTTWTTTTTATAACACTCCCGTCAGTGCTAGCGGTGCTGATAAGTGCATATCTAGCATGTTCCCGTATGTGGTTTTCCGGTGGAAAAATTACTTTGCTGGCCTGCCCAAGTAATCATTGTTCTCTTTTTCCGGTTTCGTTTAGTCTTTTAGAAAGAGCTACAATCGGGAGATACCATGTGGAACTGATCATCTCAGGCAATTCAGAACAACTTTATTTCAACAGCTCATGGCTTTACCGGCTGAGCTAGGCTCTCCTAGGCTCGCTGGTGTTCTTCCTTTTTAAACCACCAGTACGATTCTTCCTTTCTAAACCACCAGTACCTCGACCAGCTATCGAAGCCAAGCCCCGAGAATGCCCTGCGTGCCAAAAAAAAAGAAAAAAAGAACCAGCGCAGGCCTCGTATGTGGTTTTCCGGTGGAAAAAAAGAATGTCCATGCCAATCTTTGCCATACCATTCTGGAAGCTTTCGTGACCGCTAGGTCATACAAGCAGCGAATCAAATTTTTAGACTTTTTTTTAGCTTGTATGCTGAGGGAGAGGGGGGGAGGCAGGTTTGGCTTCTTCCCTGTGAGGGGCAGGCTCATAATCCATTGGTCAGGTGGATGACGGATTGGAACGGGCTGGCTTGTGTGGCAAGCAGTATCGGACAAGAGGGAAGAAAAAAAAAGAGAAAACGGAAAATCATTTTTGTCGTACTCTCCGAATCAAATTTGCAGATTTTTAGTTTGAAAGCTGAGGGAGAGGGGGGAGGCAGGTGTAGGTTCTTCCCTGTGAGGGGCAGGTTCATAATGCATCGGTCAGGTGGACGAGGAATTGGAACGTGCTGGCATGTGTGGCAAGCAGTTGCGGACAAGAGGGAAGGAAAAAAGAAGAGAACGGAAAATCATTTTTGTCGTACTCTCCAGGGAATGGAAAAATACGGACTTTGCCCAACTGGCAGGTGCAACGGGACGGACATATACGTATGACGTTACTTCGAACTGAATGGAAGTTTCGAAAACAAAGCGGAACCTTGTAACTTTCACTATTTGCGGTAATGTCCTAAGACTCCTAACCTGTTTGTTTATTGAATTAAAGTCAATAAGTAAGGAAAATGGATAATCCGCAGGAAACAAACATATGTCTCTGTAGGATCCTCAAGGACTATGGGCCTCACCACGCCAATGTGGAAACACGAGTTTTCAACATTTTTTCCTCACTACACAGAATGTCGATGCAATCATTTTGCTGTACCTTGCAAGTTACCTTGAATTTCCTCGACCAAATTGGGCAGAGTGGCAATGGTGTCACCAAAACTCAAATGTGTGGTGGAGCTAGATTGCCCGGAACACAGCTCTTGGTTTTTGTCTTGTCGTTAAATGGTGGAATCTAGGACTGTGTGGAACGAGTTTAGGGACAACTAACCGTGAAAATGCTCTTGGGATGGTCCAAAAGTTTCTAGGATTTTCTAGATGTGTCTAACAAGACCTAAACCATAGACATACTATGAAAGCCCCAGACCTAGACCTAGGCCTAGAAACTAGTCCTAGACCAACACCTAGACCTAGCCCTAGACCTAGAGCTGGTCAGAGCATTGCAAAGCTTTTGACAAGACCAAGTTGAGGAATGTCACATCACCAGGGCGTGTGTACGTTCGCCCGCAGACCAGAACTAAGTTCAACTAACAGTTTTTTTTTTTTTTTTTTTCTCTTTTCTTTTTTTGCAAGGACAATGCACTGATCTAATCGTGGGGAGCAGCACGTGCTGGGAACTGGGCTCAGCGTCCCGTCAGAAAACATATTAGGAAACGTATGCGAGGCAATTGAGATACCGGGGCCATTACCCAGCATCGACTAAGAATCGCTGAGAATATGAGGCTAAGAGCATCAATATAGCTTTGGAGCACTAAAAACCTTCACAGTCTTAAAGAATCCTGATAGCCACAGACGGAGGACCACAGAAGTCTTCGAAATACTGAAAGCCCCAGGGACCCCAAACAAAACCCTCTACGACCCTCAACCCTGTTTTATTAACTGTCGGGCTCTTCCAGGCCTCACACCCCCACCCTGTAAGGTTACAAGGCAACACGACTCGCACTGGCTCCAGCCAGCGTCGTTCCGACAGTAAACCCCTGGTTGTCCCTTGGAATGCCCACCCAAATGCATCCCCAGATATGTCTACTCATGCTCGTGGTATCAACAGGTTACAGGGCAATGCCCCAGAACTGGCGAGCGCCGTTCTGGCATCGGACAACCACAGATCCTATGAACATTACAGCATCAGAAAAGCCTACAGTGAGTTGCTAGGAGACACTAGAATCTCAGAGCATTCTAAAAACTACTGGGAGCAACCGAGATCAGCAGACTTGCTTATAAACAGTGAAAATCAACTGAGATTATTCGGGAGCCGACATGAACAACACCACATTACCCCTGTGCTATTCAGCAGACCATCCTACAAGTGCCTCAACCCCCTATCCTAGATGCCAAGCTCTACGAGGCCTCGCATCCCCAATTGCTGGGTTGCAGGGCAGCGCGACCCGCCCCAACTCCGGCCAGCGTCATCCTAGGTACGAGGTAGTAGTTGCCAACTTGCAATTTTTAATTCTAGAAATCTGTTGTTTACTTTGGAGGAACACCTGGCTCTTTATAAAACAAGTGCTCCCCCTTCCCTCCTCCCCCTCGCCTCGGCCCCCCACCCTGCACCGGAAGCCCTGGCCACTACCGGGCATTTCTTCAGCCAAATCTTGTCCAGTCCTGACATAGGGCCTTGCTGCACTGATCAGCAAATGTGCAAAATGGTGAACCTATCTTCACCACATCTTGTCTCTCTCACTTGGCAAGTGGTGGAGCGGGTTTCACAAATGACATTCTCTCAATTTTCTGCACCAGAATGCAGGCCCATCTGCCTGCAGGCCACTAACTCCCTGCATGCAGACTGCAATGTGAGCCAAATTCAGCCAATTCCTCCAGCTCTTTCTTTTTCTTGTTCTTTTTTTGTTTTTCTAACAAGGTTTTCATCTTAATCCACTAGTACCTTTGTCGGTTCAAAAATACTGGGCGTCCGACCTTTCAGGAGGCTGAAACGAAACGAATGACTGGATGGAGCAATGTCATATCACCAGTCCACGTCTAGGTTGAGTGGCATACCAGAACTATTTCTATTTCCCCCCCCTGCTAACCAGCTAGGCTACCAGCCGGGCTGCCTGGGTGACCCTGAAGGTCCCAACCAAAAAACAAAAGAAAACTGAACAACTTTTGCCTCGGGGTCACTTCAAAATTTCTTACCAAATTTAAAATAACAAATTAAATTACGACGTAGTTTTTATTTTTCTCACTTCTTTTTAATTATTATTTTTTGGCCCGGCCGTGCAAGTGGTCCTTGGCCGCTCTGGTAGCATAGCTAACCAGACTCCACTGTACCATATCTTAGCAATTAGCAGTTCGAAATTTAAAAGTGCATAGGAAAGTGTTAGGTTGATTTTCGTCAACTGCACATGCTGACAAATGGTCTGAGACCAGATCGAGCAATGTCACATCATGTTCAAAATTTCCTCAAGCTCTGCCAATTCCCTTTTTGGTTTCTTAAACCACCAGTTCACTTTACGCAGAGTACTGCTCTTGCTTGTTTACGTGCACCAAGAGCATTTTGATTTGGGCCTGGGCCGGTAGCGAATGCGGCTGGCCACTTTGGAAAGGCGAAGTTGCAGGCTCAGGAGCCTGCTTTGGAAAGTAGCTTCGTCGTCGTAGGCTTGTGTGAACTGGTGGTTTAAGAAAAGGAACTGAAGTCAGGTCTGACGCATCGCAGGTTGTAAAATCAGATCGGGCGACATCAGAGTGTTGCATGTAAAATTTGCTAGACCAGGTAGTAGACCGGATGTTAATTCCCTCGATTGTGCTGGTGACATAGGCGGTCGGTGTGACTGAGCTAAAGTACATGGCAGAAACTGACAAGACCATTGCGGATTGCTTGTTAAACTTTTTTTTTTAACTACTGTTGTGGATAGTCACAGTGGCGGTGGGCGCCGTGTGTTTGGAGTGGGACTTCGTCGCTTCACCTCCTCTTCGCCTCACCTCCTCTGCGCTGACACTGTTCTAAGAGGCTAAAACCTTCTTCACTAGATATGGCGCTATAATCATGGCGGTGGGTGCAGCAGTGTAAGTATGGAGTGGGGTCCCACTTTTTCTGTCTCTTGCTGACTGCTATTGAAGGACAAGGAACTTCTCGACTGAATAATGCGGTAATTGTGGCCAGATACATTCAGGAAGTATAAGCTCGAGTGTGATCATAGGCTGGTGGGTGATTGAGATTGCACAGATGTTGCTGTTACTGTGTTGCTGGTATCTTGGATCCTTTACTTAGAAAGGGTTGCTGTGACGGTTTTCGATTGGACCTTTTCTTTTTCTTATAAGCCTCCGTTTCAAGGAGAATTCCAGAAGGTTTGATGGGGAGTGTCTTGTTGGTAGTTTAGGCAACAAATAGTGCTGCGTCCTGTGCTACCAGCTGGGCCGCCCGGGTGACCTTGTTTGACTGGGCGGCCCAACCGTACAGATAGTGCTGTGTCCTGTGCTACCAGCCGGGCCGCCCGGGTGACCTTATTTGAACGGACGGCCCGACCGTTAGAGGAGCCTGAAAAAGAAATAATGTGATGCACAAAAATAAACTGCACAACTTTTGCCTCAGGGTGACATTGAAATTCCTCACCAAATTTGAAATAAAAAACAATTTTATTATTAAAATTATTAATATTAATAATAATAATATTATTATTATTATTTGCCTGGCCGGGCAACTTGCCCGTGGCCACTCTGGTAGCCTAGGGAGCGTCACAAGAAAAGTGTTATGGCTGCAATGTATCTGGCTGTCATTATTGACATATTCAGTTGAGAAGTCCCAGTAAAAAGTATTGTGATGGTTTTGTTATGATGCACAACATAGATTTCGGTGTTGTTGGTAAAAAGTGTCGAAAACTGTTTTTAAAAAATAAAAAACGGGCAAGGACGTTGATGTCACAAAGAGGTTTAAAATTGGGAAAAAAAAACGAGCGCCGTCAATACGAACAGCTTGAGTTCACAAGTACTGCGGCTGTGGCAGAAGCGCAGGTGTCCTAGCTACAAGGGCGGGCCGTGGTGCGAGATGGGAAAGGGAAAAATAAAGGGGTTGGTAAGGCACAGACATGGTATCCATGATGTCTTGGGTTCAGTTCCCATTAGTTTCATGTACCTGCCTGGGCATATTTGGTGTACAGCATGTAGAGATATATCTTTGGCCCCCACGATTGGCATTATGCAGGTACTACTGATACTCATAGGGGGAGAGGACGGGAGGGAAGGCACAGCGCCGGGCCGCTCGGATGAACCTTGCTCCTGATGCCACTGATGAACCACTGGCGGTATCGCCCACCTGCTGTAGGAGGTATCACACGTGCTGGTGGGTGCATTCCCATGTGTTCTCTTGTTGGAGGCTTGAACGCGGATGTGGCTGCTACGGGGTTCCCCGGAATAGTATATTGAGCATAGAAAAGGCATGAAAGGCCATCCTGTCTGGATTTGACAGGTTATGCTACGGGGTTCCCCGAAATAGTATATTGACCATAGAAAGGCATGAAAGGCCATCCTGTCTGGATTTGACAGGTTATTGAATTGGTTGGGCTTAAAAGAATTAATGTGTTGTCCAGTTGATGTAGCTCAGTGGTTATAGCACCGGTTGGAAATGCGCATTGTGGTACGAGGTTGCGGGTTCAAAACTCAATTGCCACGTTGCGCATGGACACCGGCAGGGCGTTAGATTGACGCATGGCTGGACACACACACCCTTGGGCTGACGCTCGGTAAGCTTATACAGACACTGCCTGCGCACCACCCAAGGGTTTGTCCATGGTGTTGTATGTCTGGTCTTGATACTGCGTGGGTTGCTTGTGGCCGTTGCTCGTGGTTGTTCTGTTGATCTCTCCAGTCTGGCATGTTGATCTCCCCTGTCTGGCATGTCACACACACGGGTCGTGTGCGATTGTTGCTCTGATGGAAAAGTCTTCAGGTCACATGTCATAGATCACAGGTTCGAGTCTGGCTTGGGACTTTGGGGGGGGTTCTTGTCCAGCTTGGCCTGTCCTCTCTTCAAAACGAACACAGTTCCCTCTACATATTACTGCACATATTTGGCCTTTGGGCACATACATCTCGCTATACAGTTACACAGAGCACACATAGCCTTTGGGCAGACACAAAAAACATGGCCCTATGGGCTCATACAAACATACATAGCCTCTGGGCACACACATATACACAACTACGATACTGGGCTGGGGGGGGTCTATTAGGTATATGACGGAGTCTACTCACGCATGGCTTATCTCTAGGGTAGGGTGGGGATATAAGTTGCTCTGGCTAGTCTGAGTTCCGACTCGCCTTGGGTAAGCTAGGGGAAGGACGGTAGGATGTGTCCGCGGGCGCTGGCCTGCCTTGCTTAGGTAATCCTGCAGGGTAGACTCTCCGAATTGGGCCTGTGTGATTGCATGTGCCTGGCGTCCGAAGTTCCCGTATGGCAAGGTTCGTCCGTTTCGGCTTCCACTAGGGCTGGGAGGTCAGCCCAGCCTTGGTGCTTGTCACTGCTATCTGGTCCAAGTTGCCCTCGATACTCTGGTAGGGTGATGGTCCTGAGTGCTGGCCACACTGAGGCAGGATAGTAGGGACAGGAGGTGCGCTGGGAGTATTAACGTGGGATGGGTAGGGTAGGTGGCCTATCCTTGGCTGCCGCTACCAGCAATCACCGCGGGTCTGGTCCTTGGTCTCTACAACACCCTGGGCTGTAAAGGAAAAAAAACAAAGAAAAAAAAAGAAAAAAAGAAGAAAAGAAGAATTAGTGGGTCTGGATTTGACAGGTTATTGAATTGGTTGGGCTTAAAAAGAATTAATGCAAAAGAGGAGAAGAAGAGGATAACGAATGCCATGTGGGTGAACGCTACATCCATTAACTGCTGATCAGCAGACCTGAGTTCGAATCTTGACAGAATCGGATGAATGAAATAGCTCCGAATCACCTAGGACAGGTCAATTAGAAGTTAGAGGGTTATAGTTCAAGTAGTTATGCATCCGTACGTTTGGGCCTAAGCCCTCTTTGTGCAAGCACGGATTTGAACTGGCAATCTCTGCCTCAAGAGCCAAGTCTCTTAACCACTACAGCCAGGACACGGTGTTCAAAAGCGGAGCCATTTCCAAAAAAATAAAATAAAATAAATAAATAAATAAATAAATAAATAAATAAAGCGGAGCCATACAGGACATGATATCCATGCCACCCCTGCAAGGCTGTAGTGTCCAACTTGATGCACACCACACTCAACAACCCCGGACAGGACAATTCTAAAAGGGGAAGAAAGAGCAAAGGGAATGACTAGGATTCTAGTGTTCTTCTTCTTGTCTCTTTCATTGGCGATTGTTCATTTACTTCTCGGGCTCATGGGCTTTTCATTGGACACATTGTTCTCACGTGAGGTGAGAGAAAAGTACCAAGTATACCAACTGGACTAGCTCACTTATTACACCCTTAGTACACCCCTGAACTGTTGAAATACAGACCTAAGTCAACTCCAGTGAGAGCATATGCGGGACAGGATTGGGAGTGGTTTGTGTAGCGATAGACTGACACATACATCTGGAGTGCGATGACGTGTGATCACATGCTCGGTTGTTTTCATCTATCAGGCTAGCAGTAGGAGCTTCATCCTCCTAAAGTCCTGGCAGTATGTAAGGCGGCTCACGTTCAATGAACTGGCCTGGTGGGGATGTGTTCTATTTGTTCGGGCACAAAAAATTGTAGGTTGGGCGCTTAAGAACCCACCATATTGCCTTGTTAAACTGCCAGTTCACCCGAAGCAATGGAATGCCCAAACGGGCTAATTTGAGTAARAAAAAAAAAAAAAAAAAAAAAAAAAAACTGCTGTTACCAGCATTTAGAATCCCTTGGGAGGAGCTTTGTCACCTTAGGCTCATGTGAATTGGCGGTCTAATTGAAGAACGGATGAGCTCTGGGAACCCCTACAGTCTTCACCCGAATAGAGCACCCGGTCATGATCGCTGCATCTGGACTGAAAGTTGTGGAAGTACCGCAGCGATGATGACTGGGCGCTGTATTCGGGCGAAGAGGGTAGCTGTGCTTTTGATGCATCGTCCTGGCAGGGACGTCTCCGACTTGTTCTGAAAATGTCTTTCGCTTGGTGATTGATAATCCACCGTACGTACCGGTGCTCTACCTGAAGAAGGAATGAGACCTTCGCAAGCTAGAACCCCTCTTCGGCTCCTCAAAACCATTACTACACATCCCAACAAGTCTTGTAGCTGTAAAATAATATCCTGCAAGTTTGGGGGGTCCTGGGCGAATGGCCCACAGTGTGTCTGGTGCTGCCAGCCAACGATAAGAAAAGGGAGCCTGCGCCAGTTCATTTGTGTTCAGGTGTATGCAGCACTGGGGAGGCTAGTAAAAAACAGCTTTGAACGCAGTGGTGGTTTAGACCGCCAGTTCGCAGTCCCCCCCTCCAAAACGCGCAGCCTATTGGACCCAAGGGGGACCCAGGGGGGGTGCAAAATTCAGAGTACCACAACCTTGGCAATTTTTAGTACTGGTCAGTGATTACCATTGCCGAAAATTTTTTGAAAAAATAATGGGCTGTAGATATACCATGGTAACTGTCCGGACGTCCGGACCGGGTTCCAGACAGTCCGGTGTCCGGTCCTAATGTCCGGATGGAGGCCCCTGGGGCATAAAAAAAAAAAAAAGGGGCAGCCCAGGACATTTATCGGGTCCTGGCCGCCCCTCAAAAAATAATGGGGTGATTTCTTAGTGTCGTTTGACCGCACCGGACATGACCTAGAGGTCCGGACACAAGACACTGCAGGTTTTTGAGGTGGCGGGTTTCGCACAGGCCCAAGCAATTTCGAAGCGGCTGTTTCGATGTTGTGCCCGCTGCTTCTGCCCGCTGGGGGGGGAGAGAGAGAGAGAGAGAGAGAGAGAGAGAGAGAGAGAGAGAGAGAGAGAGAGAGAGCACTGACAGTGCTGCCAGTCTGAAGACTCTGACGTTCTGAATTGAACTGCAAAGTTTGAACTTAGGTTATACGGTATGAACTTAAATTAATAAATCCAAAGTTCGAAGTTCAAAGTTAATCATGCTTTTTTCAAAAAGAACTTCTGTTTCTTTAGTCTTGTGCCTGGTTTGCACTGCTTGCAACTCTGCATGTCCGCTAGTTAAATGTGCTGGTTGATTTGCTGCAAGAAACGTGCTCTGCTGCCTGAACCACAGAGTGCAAAGCAGGTTAGTATGTCAACACCCCCACCCCGTTTTTTTTTTTTTCCCAGTCCGGACAGTTTTGCACCTCGGGGACCGGTCTGGACTGTCCGGTGTCCGGTGATGTCCGGTGAGGACAAGTGGCAAGGGGAAATAGTAGGACCCCAGTGCAACTGCACTGCGTCGTAGGGTCGTCGCCATGCAGTCATGGGAGAGTCTAGAAAGTACCAGTCCGGTCCAGCAAGTACCATGGGGGGGACTGTGTGCACCATGGGCCAGGGATACAGGGCAGACCAACGCAGCGCAGAAGTATAAATCAAGAGGCTGCGTCCAGCCATTCAATCATTCCTGCGGATGCCATGCGGAAGCAATGCCTTAGCAGCTTGTGCGAGGAGGTCTGCAGTGTGCCCGAAGACGAAGTGGGCAGAGAAGTGTAGTGTAGCGATAGGTATTGGCAGCTAGCGCTGCCATAGCTGTAGCATAGCGTGTGTGTGTGTTGCGTATGATACTGAGTGTTGCGTGTGGGACATCCAGGGTGATCCAGAGTGCGAACAGTGAGTTGTGTGGGCGCCCAGTCGCCATAGAAAGTTGAAGAGAACTCATATCTGGTTATGATATCTTAAGTACTGTCAGGGAGCATGTCGCCAGTTGCTGTATCGCTGTTTGCATGCAAGACAAGTGTGAATAATCGGAGTGTGAATGCAGCACGGTGTGTTTCTTGAAAATGGTCGTGGAACACACTGGTGGTTTAACATTGGTGATGCCAGTGCAAACAGGGCTTCCCGCCGAAATCTCCGCTGCCTGTAATCACCCTAGTGCGCGGACGGGTTGGGCATGCATCCATCAGATAAAGCATTTTCAGGACTTCCATGGGCGTATGCTGAAATGAACTGCCACCTTTTCTAAAAGATTTTCCCGGCCCCCCTCCCCACCCCCCCTTTATTTCTTCTACTACGGAGCTTCTGTCAGACTTCATGGTCAGTGCTGACAAATGTCACTTGTACCTCTTAGAAAGGTGGCCATGACGTCAAGAGTCTGTCTATAGGGCCACCGGACCCGGTTTCCAGCAGGTACAGCTACCTGCCAATTGACAGGAGGCTCAGGAGCCACCCATACGGAGGGTACTGTGGAGGGTCGCTCGAATCGCCCTCGGGTAGTGCCCTCGAGGGGTTGTTTAAAAAAAATTCTTCGATTACGGAGCTCCTGTCAGACTTCATGGTCAGTGCTGACAAATGTCACTTGTCCCTTTTAGAAAGGCGGCCCCGACGTCAAGAGTCTGTCTATAGGGCCACCGGACCCGGTTTCCAGCAGGTACAGCTACCTGCCAATTGACAGGAGGCTCAGGAGTCAGGAGCCACCCATACAGAGGGAACTGTGGAGGGTCGCTCGTATCGCCCTTGAGCAGTGCCCTCGAGGGGTTGTTTAAAAAAAAAAAGAAGAAGAAAAAGGTGCCAGTTAGTGGTGTGATTGCATATGGAGGTGGGAAAATAAAAATAAAAGAGGCAGTTGTACACAGTAGTGACAGTACGTTATTTCTGGGTCTCTTTTCCTGTATTTTATAAGGTGAAAGAAATCATAATGAAGCTGTGCGCCAAATTCACCAAATGGCATTTATAGTAATTTATACTGTCTTTCCCGAGTAAACGCATGGTCGTTACTGCCATTTGGTGAATTTGGCGCACAGCTTCTTATGATCGTATCTAAAGTTTCTATAGTGAACTGTGCCCCAAGTACAACTAATTATGACAGTGTGTCTTATTTGGGAGAGGTTGGCAGTGGGGCAGATTGCACCTGGTGATATTACCATTGAAGATATGTATAGGCTTGAACTTTGGACCTCGTTGCCTGAGGGCTGGGGCCTACCGGCTGGTGGAAACTGTTCCCTTCCTGCCAGGATACCTCGTGGGATCCGATGATGGCCACCAGCATCGAGGACATCTACAGTGTCGGTGTTTTCACGCGGCCGTGAACTGCTGCTCACTCTTTTCGTGTGCGCTGAACTTGGGAGTAGGTGGGAGGGGCCGGGCACCCTCTACGTAGGAGATTGTGGAAAGCCGACCTGTGGGCCTTTGCTCTGTCGCAGGCGGACAGTAGAATGAACTTTGCCAACTACGTAGGAAACGGTGCAGAGTCGACCTGTGGACTCTGCTGTCCACTCTGTTGTAGGTGGACAGCAGAGGGAACTTTGCCCAGTGTGGGCCTGGCTGCCTCACGGACACCTGAGTGCTTGTGGCCAGATCTGCCCTCACAAGGCCAGCTGTCAAAAGGTTTCCATTTTGGGATGTTCGCTGACACGCTTTCCCTCAAGGGCAAGCACTGCCTCCGGTGCTGCATCTCGAAGCGGGGGTGGTGTGATGCCCCGTCCTGCACCAGTAGTGGCTGTGCCAGGAAACGAAAAGAGAGGCGGGGCCTATGACTTCGCCGGCAGCCGGACGGTGGGATCCAGCCCTGGTGAATTGTGGACGACTATTCTGCTTCTTTTCCCTGGATTCTTCGCTTTGGACCGTAGAGTACGAGTATCAACGGACAGATGCACAGGATCAGGGTATAAGTGGGACCTTGGCCCATGTAGGTATGCAGATAAGTGTATGGAGGCACATATCATGGGAATGTTCATTTGTGTTCTTCTTTGGGAGAATCACCCCTGCTTCTAGATTCACGCTTAACTCAACTCAATCTGACTCACACTCTGACTCACTCTGACTCATTCATGACTTCAACTCACTCTTAACTCACTCTCACTCACTCTCACTCACTTGCAACTCACTCATGACTTCAACTCACTCTCACTCACTTGCAGCTCACTCTTCCCAGAAGTGCGCCATTTTTAGATCTCTTGTCTCTTCAACTTTGGAAGAATCTCCTCGCGGATGAGTCGGTTCCAAATTGCAATTCATTGGGAAGATTTGCCTCAGTGCCTCACTTTTCTGACATCCTCCTGTGCCCTTTGGCACCTCAACAGGCACTTGCAGTCTGGATAGTGTGTTTAAACTGCTAGTACAAGGCCCCGGCCTTGGCAGAAAGTTTTTGTCGCCAGAAGCGAAACTCGGAGGCGCTGTGTGGCCAGGCCCGCCGTTGAAAAAAAAAAATCGGAGGCCTGGTGTGGGTTTCATGCTGACACTCGTGGGCCAATAGTGGTGTACTGGTGCTTTAATAACTTGATCATTTTGTCTAGTTCCGGGCTTAGACCCTTAGGTGCAGAAGAGTAATGAGATGGGAATTTTTTTTTTTTTTTAATAAAATATTTAAACAAATAAATAAATAAATAAATAAAAGAGATCCGGAGAACTCACTGAGGTGTCCTTCGGCACATCCGTTTGAAAATTGGAACGATACGGAGAAGATTAGCATGGCCCCTGAGGTGTCCTTCGGGACATGCGTTTTAAAATTGGAACGATACAAAGAAGATTAGCATGGCCCCTGAGGTGTCCTTNAGAAGATTAGCATGGCCCCTGAGGTGTCCTTCGGGACATGCGTTTTAAAATTGGAACGATACAAAGAAGATTAGCATGGCCCCTGAGGTGTCCTTCGGGACATGCGTTTTAAAATTGAGGCCCCTCCCTGAGGTGTCCTTCGGGACATCCGTTTTAAAATTGAGGCCCCTCCCTGAGGTGTCCTTTGGGACATCCGTTTTAAAATTGAAGCCCCTGCGCGTAAAAACAAATGGAATAGAGGAGGAGATTGAAGTGAAACCTTCAGAAAGATCAGATGCTTCAGCAAATGATGTCAGGAAGTGATGCGGATGGGCTGTGTTCTTTTGTTCTTTTTTTCTTTCTTTTTTCAAGGAGGCGGCTGTTCACGTTATTTTACACATGATCTGTTCAGTCTGTCAGTCTGTCAGTTTGTTCACTCTGTCAGCCTGTCAGCCTGTCAGTCTGTCAGTCTGTCAGTCTGTCAGTGTGCAGAAACTTCACAGCTCGCTGCCATACATACGTGGCACAATCACTCCTAACGTTGGTGTATTGATCTGGTTATCGGGATTCAAAGTCGTGATATGTTTATGATTATTAATATTATTAACAAAAAAAAAGTGAATAGACAGCGGTTACATATCTGTACCATTCAGCCATACGAGCCGGGTGAACAGGCTCTTTGCCATTTCCATTTGTGTATAGGAAGTTGGGGCATCGCCACGCGGCACACAAAACGAAAAACGAAAGGAGTGCATCTTCCCTCAGAAGATGTGGCCAGGTTCATCTGGGGCATTTCGCCACACGGCACTCGAAACGAAAAACGAAAGGAGTGTCTTCTTCCCACAGAAGATGGCCAGGTTCATCAGTAATATGAGTGTATTTTGCCACCTGTCGTGGGCAGATGCACTCGTTTCGTTTTCGTTTCATGTGAAGCCCGTAGGAAGACAGGTATGACCGTTGTCTCTCGTGTCAGTTTGCGGAAATTTCACTGCGTGCTGTGCACATACACAGCACGGCAAACTGGAAAGATGAGCTGTTCACCGGTGGACGTATTTGTGTATTTGTGTAGAGATCGCGGTCGGATACATCCAGGACCAGCTGTAATTTGTGTTTTTTTTTGACTGAATTGCGTGCACATAATTGTGGTCGTGTAGGTCCCGGACGGCCCGCAACTGGGAACAGAAATTTCCCAGACTGTGATGGACATATTAGAAATGTGTGTACCTGGCCATCATTTCGGACTATGTCCCCTTCTATTGGGTTTGATTAGGGGTTAGGTGGGGTGTCTTACATAGGATTCTCCAATCTGTCTGCCTTTAGGTAGAGGGAGGGAGGCATATAGATGTGTCAGCTATAGTGAATATGACTGCTTACAGTGTCCTAGCAGACGATGCGTTCGTGTGTGTACCTGGCCGTCATTTCAGACTATGTTCCCTTCTATTGGGGTCAGATTAGGGATTAGGTGGGGTGTCTAGCTGATTTGCATAGGATTCCAGTCTGTCTGCCTTTAGGTAGGGGGACGGACATATATAGATGCGTCCGCTATAGTGAATAAGACTGCTTGCATCGTCCTACCTTCTTCCCCCAAACACAACGCACCCTCATTTTGACTGTATCGGGCTGCAAACATACCTTGTATACGTTCATTTTTGGGGTGCGTTATGTTCGGGGGAAGACGGTAGCAGACGACGCGTCTGCACTGTAGCAGACGGGACTTCTTAGACTGAATTGGGCATATAATTGCTGTTACGTACATCAAGGACGGACTGTATCCGGGAACAGATCCCAGATCGCCGTAGAATGCGTACCATGCCAGCATTTTAGGCTATATGCCCATCTGTCTGCCTTTAGGTAGGGACGGACATATATAACTGCGTCGGACGTATATAGACGCGTCTGCTATAGTGAATGAATATAACTGTTCGCATTGTACTAGCAGAGGACGTGTCTGCACTATGGCAGATGGGACTAAATTGTGCTTTGTGGTTGCAGTCCACAGATTCAGTTCGAAGTCTTCAGACCGTAACTGGGAACAGAACCAACAGGCACATCCTAAATTGTTGTAGAATGTGTACCTGGCCAGCATTTCAGACTATATACCCATCTGTAGGGTTAGATTACCTGACCAGCATTTCAGACTATGAAGTATATAGTATATACTATATACCCATCTGTAGGGCTAGATTAGGGATTAGTGGGGGTGTCTAGCTGGTTTGCTTTGCTCACAAACCTCCAGTCTGTTTGCCCTTAGGTAGGGAGGGGCATACATAGACGTGCCCGCTGTAGTGTATACAACTGTTTGTATTTTCGTAGCGGATGATTGTATTTTTTAACTTGCGTACCCGGCCAGCATTTCGGACTATATACCCATCTGTAGGGTTAGGTTAAGGATTAGGGGGGGTTGGGTGTCCAACTGTTTGGCACAGGATCCTCACAGTCTGCCGCCTCTGCCCTGAGGCGGGAAGGGAGGGATAGCGTCTGCTGCCATGGTGAACGTAAGTGTTCATATTGTCGCAGCGGACGTGCTGCACTATAGCAGATGCGTCTGCGCTATGGCCCTGACACATTTCAAGTTTCAACACCATTTCCACAGCGCCAGCTTACTTTCATGTGTATCTCGTTCTTTCCTTTCGTTTTTTCCTTTTCACTTTTTTTTTTTTTTTCCCCTGTTCCATTCTATTCTGTGTCAACCTATAGTCTGACAGATGTCTAAACCTTGTGCATGTCGTTCTTTTTTTTTTTTTTTTTTTTTTTTTTTTTTTTTTTTTTTTTTCCCCCCCCCCCCACTTAGGTGTTTTGACTATTCAACCCCTTGATGCGTGTTTCTGTGTCAACCTATAGTGTGACAGATGTCTAAACCTTGTGCATGTTTTTTTTTTTTTTTTTTTTTTCCCTCGC